TACATCCCGGGCAGGAACACAGTAGTGCAGCAAGGATTTTATCACAGCCACCCAGTGACGGCACCATGCTGCCGAGCTTGCTGCAGCATGCATGCTTATACCCTGAGGTGTCCTCAGGTAAACTCTGGTTGGTGCACCCAGCTCCCAGCACGAGTTGTGACTGAGAATTTTATGTGAGGGCCCTGAAGCATGTGACACATGTTGGAGCATGGGGTCAGTGCAACCTAATCTAAGGAAAACAGGTCGATGGTTTGACGAGCACCGGTCTCTCGGACATGTCGGGCTTGCTGAATCTCCAGCGCACGTCGACAGAGCGCATCTCTCACTTGTTGGCGCGTGCCTGAGGTCACACATGAGGGCATGCATCAAAGAGTCAAGGACAGGGTCGCCCACTCTGCTCGCTCCAGCTGACAGGATGAGTTCTATTTTGCCTGAGCAAGAGAAAAAGTAGCAAAGCCCATGCTTCGGACCCCTAGAGTGGGCGCAGCACCCGGATGTCAGCTCCATCTTGTTTGGGCCACGCTTGCTTTCCTGAGCCGGAGGTGTGCCCTCAACAGCGCGGCGGTTAAGCATCCAAAACACTTGGTTCCACACAGTGGGCGCCTGCACCACCTTCCCATGCAACCAGCGACAACGAAAACATGTCCTAGAATCACAGCCTGCTGCATCCACAAAGGTGGCAGTGGCCTGGGGCCGATCTCTACAGGTTGCATCTGGACACTGCTCGGTATCACCAGTGCCTGATAGCACAAGCGAAGGAGGTGGCCTCCAAGCGCAGACACAGGATGAACTGAACCAACTAGTGTTCAGGATGCCACGGCTGTCCTCAGTACAGGGCCTTAGCCGAGCCGGCCTCCAGTGAGGCTGTGTTTGCGGACGATAATGCGAAGCAATGTGCAGTCGGCAGGGCAGGGCCTCAAGTGCTCTTGAGCACACAGCCTCCCTGTCCCACAGGTCTGAGCTGCATGAACGGCTAGTGCAGTGCTGGTTGCAAGTCAAGCACGTCGACGCAATGCTCATGCTTGCCAGGTTTTGCCAAGGAAAAAGCTTCGTCGCCAATAGCCACCAAAACAAAATCATGCTGGTTTGGTAAGGCAAAAGGCGTGTATCCATGGCACAATCGGAAAGAGTTCACTACAACACTAAAAACAGACTTGAGCCGGGGGCTTGGCCACCCAAAGCATCATCTAGTAAACACAGTGCCCGGACGCTGGATGTTTATATTGGTTACTGCATCATCTCAGACATGTCTGTATCATCCGGCCAAATCCGCTAACTCTCCCCGGGTCCGCGTCGTTAGTAGTTGAAGTCAGTCGTCGTGGTGGTGGCAAGAGTGGCAGTGGCAGCTTAGAAAGCGTGATCTTGGCATTTTGGGAGCAAGGCTTTGGCACGTTGAGGTGCATTGCCGCCGCTTTGTTGACAGGTCCTCCTTGAAGCCGGGATGTCATCTCCTGCGTTGCGCAGCATCGCCTCCAAGGGTGTCAGCATCGATCAAGCTGCCAATCCACAGATCGCCCTGCCTTTGCTGGTACTGGCGCCACTGAACTTGATACTCGGTCAATAGCGGAAGCCTTTCTCGTGGTTGCTTCATGACTCTTTATCACCTGGTGACTTGAACATATTCGGGAGATCGGCTCCGGCAAGGTAGTGGTTCTCCGTCCCATCCTTTGCCTGCAATGTGTGGAGCAGATTCCGCCCCCAAACTGCTAACGAAGAAGATGAAGACAAAGACAGAAACCTAGAGGAGCCACCCAAGGATCAACGTTGTTGCAACGCTCTTCGACATCTTCTACCTTGCAGCATGGCAAGGGTTGAGGATGGAGGTTGTCTGCTTCTGGTTCTTTGCAGATTAGGAGGACATAGGAGGATGGAGCTTCAACTTCAACCAGCTTGCGAAACAGGATCCGGACATTTCAATCAAAATCATCAAGCCCTGTGGGTTTTATCTACGAATATGGGGTCTTGCGGCTGCGTTCGCGTTTGCTATGTCACATGATTTCGCATCGTTTCATACCCGACCGCACCAGATCATCATATCACGTATCTTTTCATAAACATATACACACATTCATACCTTTAAGTGCGTACGTACGTACATGCATATCATACATTCGTACATACATGTTGGTTATGTCATGTGTCCTCCTGGTCTGTTTACATATGGGTTGCTTGGAGACGAAGGATGATGAGATGGAGCACTGGGAGCGGAAATCCATGGGAGCGACATCAATTTTGGTACGATGTCTCATTTTGTGCATGCTGTACAGAAAAACTCGAGATGAGCGATGCTTCATATACTTGGTCATACAGAAGATGTCCATGGTATATTTAGCTTCCATGACACCGCGTTTGATGGTGTGGGAGATGTCTGCGAAGACCATGGTAGCCGGGGCTTCGCATGGTCTGATGCCATTCCAGCTCCTGACCTACAGCTTCTGCTTCTTCTTCGCCGTGCTTGGCATAAGGGGAACCGCTTCCCTTCCTGGGCAGCTCGACCTGTTTAGCCAGTGTTAACCCACGGCTGTGGCTTGAATTATAATGTTTCAGCGGGCAAGCCCTAAGCACTGGACTCTAGACGTTCCCAACTCAGGTGCGGCCTCTGCTTGCTGAGGATGATGATGGCTCGAAGCTTTCGAGCCTGCTGCCATGTGCCGCATGGCGTCTCGTGTGGAAGCGCGGAGAGCGAGTCTGACTCGGAAAGCTGGAGCAGCTCAAGGAGCAGTACCAGCTCATAAGCGACTTGAGTTCCAAGAGGATGCCATAGCCGTGATCGGTGCGACTCTGGCTTCGTGTCGCGACATCCTCGAAAAGTATCGAGGGGTGAGGCTAGGTGAGGGGTGCTCAGTCAAAGGACCATGGATTTCCAGTATGGTTCCTCGATCATGCCCGGACAGGGCGAAACCACAAGTCTAACAGTTGCTTGGGGGTTCTTGTCGGCGTGGTCGCATGAATGATCGAGCTTGATGCGTTGGAGGCTGTTGAAGGCTTGCGCTGACTTATGGATTCGAGCTTGCTTGCGTCATGTCGATGTTAGCATGGTTCGAGTGCCGAAGGGTGACAAGACCTCTCAACCCAAGTCTTGTTGCCGGCACATGGGCACCGGCATTGAGGGCTCAACACATGGAAAAGCGTTCAAGACCACATCGTCGAACGCTGCGGGGGGATTGTCGTTGTCGCACATGCAGTAGTACAGCAATATCAACGGTAGTGCTGGTTTAAGGTTCAAGGTCAACTTGTTCTTGCAGGTNNAGGGGGGGGGGGGGGAATTGAACCAACATATCTTCCGCAGCTGAATTTGGTTTTATTATTTGGTCTTCGTACTCTTTTTATATAGTCGTTGTCACACATGCAGTACTGCAGCAATATCAACGGCAATGCTGGTTTAGGGTTCAAGGTTGACTGCAGGTCCTGCTGGCAGAACTTATAGTCAATAGTCACGTATGGAGCAGACGAAGCTCTTGATGAATTTCCGATCTCTGGATGCTCTGGGCTTCAGGTTTAGAGGCCGTTCAGAGTTGAAGTTCTAAGCCTAGGGCCTGGCTTTAGTCCCAGGAAGCAGTCGGAGGGACCCGCATTATGCCACAGATCAACCCAACACGCATCAATTTTGAAGCATGCAGGGGGAGGTTCGGCAAGTTTCAGCAGGTCTCGTCCCACTGCCATACCTTACAGGTTTTGGCTCAGCGCCCATTCGATTCGCAGCTTGTCTCCGGGCCATGCGGTCCACAACAGCAGAAGCAATCGACTTGCACAACTTTGTGACACCCGACCGCTGGTGTGTGACACGGCAGGACCTGGAATACTTGCAAATCACAGTAAAATCTGCAATCCGGAAGGGCGGAATCGTGCCCCCAGAGAATGG